TCAGCCACTTCCATACGAAACTCAAGGAATTGCATGATGCTCTTCTTTGGTAAACCACATACAATAAGGTCTTTGCGGTACAGTAGCCAGCTTTTGGCTAAAGCCAGATCCGTGAAGTGCATTAGCATCCGCAGTGTCCACTTCCTAGTACGGACTTGCATGCGATAATAGCTCATCATCCTGTCTACCAAGTCAATCCCACCCATCTTGGAGTTGTATTCACAGATAATACTTGGTCGCAAGATAGTCACATATTGTTTCAGTTTCTTGTCCCATCGTTCCACACCTTGGATGGTTGTGAAGAACTGATCACAGTATACTTTTGTTCCTGGATGCAGAGTTTGAGACAGACGATCGATGACCAAGCTTGCCAAACCCAGGCCCTCTGGTTCTTCGACCTGCTCAAGCAGTGCATCTGCACCTTAATATATGTCAAAGTCCAGCACAATGCCATCTGCTGTAGCGCAAACAAAGTTCTTCATGCCAACTGGGTTTGGCTTCATTGGCAGATATTGTCGACATGGACATGCTCCTGTAAATGGGATCATCTGCTCATCAATAGATACGCATTCGGAGCGAGCCTGAGACCTGCAGCCTTTCCGAATGCGATCCAGAAAAGGCCTCACCTTCCAGAATATGTCACACTCCCTCAGGTCTTCTGGAAAATCATCATCAATGAGTGATCGCCTCAGTCTGAAAAATCTGTCGCGTGTGAATCTTTCAGTGATGGCAGGGAAATCGTAAGGCTTTGGACCAGTACATCCTGATTCGTGGGTACTGCACACAGGACATCAAAACACAGGCACCAAAAAAATTATAAATCTCATCTTAACAGATGTTTTGAGTAGGTTCCAACTTCTAGCCAGTGTTGTAGCATTAGAGCAATCTGCAATCAATTTCATCAAGTGCTCAGTGGGCTGTGGAATGGGGTCCTAATCTCCACTACTGTCCTCCTCACTGCTGCTCGGCTCCTGTGGTGGGGGTTGATAACCAGCATCCCCCATGGGATCATCGATGTCAGACAAATCTCTGAGTTGTCTCTAACAATTGACAACTCCATCTCAACTGCTTTTGACAGAGAAATAGGCTCTGGAAATAAAATCATATTTATAAAACATGCTATATCTGTTTGTACTGTTGTAAACTATTGTTTTCTACCAAAATCTACCCAAACTACATTTTCATACTCACATTTTGTTGCTAACATTTTCGCTAACATATTAACATTTTCAACAAAACTAAGTCTGTCTTCATGTTTAGCGGCATAGTATATCGTAACAGTTGCTAACTTTTGTCAAATTTGCATGGCATGGCAAACATATAACACTTTTATACATATCTGAACAAGAATCAGCCATGAAATTGTATTGATATTTTTACCTGGTCGACGTTTGGGTAGGGAGTGGACATCGATTTTTTCCAGTGTGTTCTCCGCCATCTTGAATTTAACCTGTAGTGTTAGTGGGTAGTGTCTTCTGACACCACTAGATGACAGTGTAAGTGTTAATGTATGTGGACATCGGGCCTCCAGAAATAAGTATTGTGGTATACACAACCCAAAATGTGATGTCCACGCACGTGAACAATTTCATTTAGTTTTCTTTCTGTACATTTTTTGTGGAGGTACAGGCCTAAAGTTTTCTTACACCCCTTAAAATCAAGAAGGCTTTGCAACCCCCCTTTGGCGACCTGTGGTGGGTGTCCCTACCCCCAGGTTGTGAACCACTGCTTTAATTTACAGTAATTTTGTGTTGTGTCCACATAAATTTGTATGTAAAGATGTGCAAAATGGACTGCAAATACAGAGTTTTGGCAGCGGTTGAGTTTGAGTAAGATAACAGTTAAAGAAATGCCATAGTTGTGGTCACTGAATGCATTTTGTGTCAAAGCAATGGAAAGTTGCCGCAGTTTAGTCCACAATGACTTCTGTTGTGTTAAGTTTTGAAGTGAACGCAGTTTTGAGGAATGCATGAAACCAGCTGAAAAAAACAACAACCTGTTATTACATGGATTACTTTTTGTTTGCATGTGCAATGTCCTCTCTTCATCACACAGACACTGTAATTCTACAAATATTCCAGTAGGTGGAGGCAAAGTTGCAAAAATGTAACATCAGAGGGGAAAGAAAGTGCCTAGTGTAAAGGGTAACTTTGCTTACTTCACCCTGACAGTGTTTATTGTTCTATAATATTTAGCTGATTTTAAACAGTAGCTGTCAGATGAGTCATATTGGAGTCACTCCACATTAATGGAGCAGCTCCAGCCTTGCAGGATATTCCAAAATGAAACTTAATTAAACAGCACTGGAGACGGTGTCCATTGTTAACAGTTTGCTATACTAATTTATAGACCTGTATACTTTTCATACCATCCCACAACTGCCTTTCCGAGGAAATAAAACTTCCCTGCACTCTCTAACTGATATTACACACTTAAGATGCTCTCCCTTTACAGAGGCGTTGAGAGGAGATATGATAGGTCACAGATAGCAGGAAGCAATAACCGGAATATCTCTGGAGAGGTAATAAAGATAATGGCTAATGATTCTAGATAATGGTTTACTCTTGGAGATAAGTAACCAGAGAGTGTGTTTATTTTATTGGAAAGTAAGTGTGTTGGGGATTTGTACTTTAGAACGCCTCTTTAACTTAAAGGAATCAAGTTTTGGTCTCTTTCTATAGAGCAACATGTACTGCTCTGTACTGTTTATGCTGTAAATACTTAGATATTACACTCAGACACACAATCTATATTAAATGAAGAGAAATGTACTGACATAAATGATAGAAACATAGCAGGAGCAGCAGAGAGGCACAAATCTGATCACAGCTTGGCAGTAAACTTGTGAACTCCAGTTTCCTTTGACTGTCCTTGTCTATTTTCTCCCAAGGGACAGGCATGCCAGTGGGTGGGTGCACTACACACACACACACACACACACACACACACACACACACACACTCACAGAGATAGACTCATGCACACTCATGCCTACGTCACAGTTTCCATTCTAAACAGGAATAAACCCTGCTGAGAGCATAACCATACACAGTCAGCTGTATGGTGTCTATTATGACACCCCAGCTGCTCTTCTTTATGTGTTGTACAGCGTCACATGATGAGCGAGTTTGAATATTTGAATGTCCGTGCTCTTCATCGGCTAATACCAACACAACAACATCTGATGGATCACCAGAAACAATGCAAGTTACTCATTCACCAATCAATCGATGTGCTGAAAGATACTGACTGATAGAAAGTGGATGTCAATATGTTGACCTGCGACAGTACTTGAGAGTTAACATGACCTTCGGCAGCCTGAGGTAACCTCCGGCTAAATCATCACACAGTCACATCATAATGACCTCCCACGTGGCACTGAGCACATGATCCACTGTAAAGACAGGACAGCCAAAACATAATAGAGAGTTTAGTCTGAAGTCTAATTAGCTGTAGTGATATGTTTATGAAGTGTTTATAGAGGATGTATATGGCTCCATTTTCTTACCTGATGACTGTAATAAAAGGTGAAGTGATAATGGACTCAATGTTTAACCTGGATTTTAGAAGGAAAACACAGTGGAATTCTCCATTTGACTCCCACGCAACTGGTGTGTGTGTGTGTGTGTGTGTGTGTGTGTGTGTGTGTGTGTGTGTGTGTGTGTGTGTGTGTATGTGAGTGTGTGTAGTTGCCCTTTACTCTACCTAAGATTTCCACATTACCTGCCGCCGCCTACATTGTCCGTACACACTGTTCAGCATGTCAGGACATACAGTAGCCTATGTTATTGATCTGGCCCCTCTGCCAACTCTGCATACAGTCTGCAGAGAATTCACAGCGAACTATGATATTCATAACACACAACGGTCTTAATTGCCAGCCTCAGCTGTAGGCGCCAATGTCCAAATACCGAGTTTAGCAGTTTCCCCAAGTCTTTACGCTTATTATAAAGAACTAAACCCATCTGGTCAGAGCTGAAATTGATACCAGTCTTCTGATTTGATGATTTGAGGGCAAAGAAACGTCTTACTGCAAGTTTGAGATTTGGCAAATATACTTATTTGCATTCTTGCCAAGGGTAAGATGAGAAGACTGATAGCACTTTCATGAACAAACATGAATCTACAGCCAACTGCCTGTTAGCTTAGCTTAGCACAGAGACTGGAAACAGGGGGGACAGCTAGCCTGGCTTGGTCCAAAGTTAAAGGTTAAAACTCACTAATTAACATGTTATATCTTGTTTGTCTATCCGAGGGCTGCCCAAAGCTGGGTTCGTCCACAGTAAGGTTAGATTTGGCCCACCAGATGTATGTATATTATAAATCACTGTATATGCTGTTTTATCTTTTGTGAGGTAAAATTGATTTCCTTTTCATAATCTGAGCATGGACACCAGTGACACGTTACGGAAGTCAGTCAATTAAGGGAACTTTTGCATCTTAAGAAAAAACAATACAATCCAGTAGGTGTTTGCACTATGTAGAGCACTGACAAATAAGAGAACACAAGTGTTTAACGAAGAGGCTACATCAGCCTACAGCTGACCTAGCGTAGGACTGCGTACATTGAATCAGTAGATCTGTGTTTCTTTATCTCTGCTATGCGCAGTGTATAGTTTCAAAATAGTTTGTTTCACTTTATTTTCAGCTGTGTGATAGATGGATGGTTTAAAGGTCCAGTGTGTAACATTTAGGAGGATCTACAGGCACAAATGTAATATAATATTCATAGGTATATTTTCATTTGTCTGTAATCACCTGAAAATAAGAAAAGTTGTGTTTTCGTTACCTCGGGTCCTCTTTCTCGGAGGCCACCATGTTGAAGTTTTCTACAGTAGCCCAAATTGGACAAACCAAACATTGGCTCTAGATAGTCCTTTTCAGTTTTTGCCACTGTAGTTTCTCTGGCATGCTTGGAAGGCTGATGCCATGAAATCCCACACACTGGTCCTTTAAGTGCATCCCCCCCCCAAAAAAAAAAACAAGTCTTAGTGTTCATGGGGTTATGTGCCTATTTCTTAGCAGTGATTTCCTGGAGTCTCTGCTGGATACCTGGCAACCTCAAGGTATGGGGTATTTCGTTACATTTACAGGCTTACTGTGTCCCCTGCTTTCATTCTTTATCATAGGTTAAGCTTCATGCTTCCGGCCGTAGCTTCTATTTAGCGTACAGTCGTATCACTCTTCTCATGTAACTCCTGACAAGAAAACGAATATGTATTTCACAAAATGTCAAAATATTCCTTTAAATAATCTTGTGTTCATTCTTAAGCTTTGCAAAGCAGGACCTGGTGGTTAACTTTCTAATTTATAAGCTGACACTGTGCGCTGCAGGTCAATCTGTTTCAGATATGAGGAGTCATGAGTCGAGTGTGAAACTAAGTGTGAAACTTTAGACGGTCTTTTCTTACTGACATCCTTGAATATTCTCAGTGTCATAGATTTACATATATGCTCTTTCTACTGATGTCATTTCGTGCTTTTATACCACAAAAAGTGTCAGATCTTAACTCACAACCTGTCGAGTACATTTATTTCAATATATGTGATTTAGAAAGACACATTTTAAAGGTTCAAACCATAATTGAAATGTGAGGCCTAAGGAGAAGTCCCACCAACGAAATTCAGGACAAGACTGGAAACGGCCATCATTCCGAATCTTATAGGCACAACCTTTAATATAAAACTGAAACCACTGCCAGTCTGTTAGCTACTCTAATTCTGATTGGACCTTTAACCAAACAAACTTGAAGTGGTTTTCTCTTAATTTTAAGTGAATTAGGTGAGAAGGGTGTGGTGCAGTAAGCAGGAGTTTAGATTGAGACATTTTATTGTTGTTAGTTATTAGTCAGTTATTACGTGTGCATTTACCTGTGTATTTGTGTTGATCTTACCATCACTAAGCCAACTGCGGCACATTGTATAGTATTTCCTGTGAGATCGTTTTGTCTTGTTTGGTGCATGTCAACATTATGTTCTTCTCTTTCTCACAAATCTCCTGTTCTCATTCTATCCCCTCAGAAGTGCCTGAAATTCCCTGGAGCTTCTCTGATATCTGCATCATCTCGTCGAGCTACAGTGTACAGACAGGCAGCACTGTTGACATTAAAAACACATTAAAAATCTCTGTCAGTGTGAGGTCTTTATTATTATTCTATAATCTTGGTAACATCTTGGTCTTTTTCTTCTTTTCCTGCCCACATTATGTACCTTGCTGTGCAGAGAAAGTACAAACTCTCCGATCACAGCCCCCTGCTGTAGGGGGATGAGACTCCCATTTTTCATCTTTCTTGACCCTTTGACTCTGAAGTTTCCTCTGATCACTGACAGTTTGCATCTAAAGCTGCAGCATGTGTGGACACGTGATGTTTCCCAGTATTTAAGATCCTTTATATTCCCCTTATTCACCACTCCTAAGCGACTGCAAGAAGATTCAGTTTATTAGCATGACATCATATGATTTCTGGGAACTGAATGTCCCTTGCGGTGCTTTACGCTCAACCTCCTATACAGCCTAAAGATGTGAAAGGTGACAGACAGCCAACGTAAACATAGTGACATCACCAGTCTGGGTGAAATCATGATGCTAAAGCGGTCAGTCCATCCCGATAACAACAAGGTTCAATGTTCTGCCGCTGCGAGCCACACTGTCAAGAAATATGGACTTTGAAACAATTGCCTCAGTTTTCTCAACATGGTGTGGTTGTGGGTTGCTTTCCGCAGCAGACAGATACTATCAGATAGTTTACACTGTTGAATGTCAATTTGGGATTTTCAGTGCCCCTTTTTTGTACCAAGGTTTCCTCTTAAGCTGCCTTGTCCGTTTTGACAACCAACATGAAGGAGGAACCTCTCAGTGGCCTTCTTTCGTAGGAGAGCAATACAGCAGGAGTGAGACATAAAGTTTTCCAGTCAAGAAAAAGTGTCCTTACTAAAAACATAGCATGCAGAGCACTGTGGTCTGCTACGGTATATTGATGGAAATTACCTAATGTGACATCATCTTATCATTTGACGCTGTTTTTGCAGAAATAAGAGTGGGATTCCACTAAATGTGCTAATTTATCAAAGAGGCTATTTAGGGTAGGAATATCTTACAGACACACTATCCTGTAAGTAGAGCGTGACATTGCTTTTTCTTTATAAAATTAAAAAGATTAATGGAAAATGAAACCTGATTTTACACAATAATGGCATGAAATTGTCTAGATGGGCCTACCTTGTAATATACATACAAAAAAGTACTAAGGAGAAGAAGCAGCATGACTTAAGCAGCAAAACAATCTACAGCAACACAAAACAATAAGAAAATACCAGTGTAAATATGAATCTTGTGTTCTTTAACTCTTATTTTATATAATATTATTTTGCAGGGCTCTTGCCAACAACTAAAAGCCTGTGCAAGATTTTCTTTCAGCAGCTCCTTGCTTTGTCACTCTCTTTTTCTCCTCTTAGCTTCCTCCGTCAACATCAAAGCACCAAAGTTACAAAGTGCGTACGATGCGCATAGTGGGAATGACAGAGGCCCTGTGCACCCTATTACAAGTCAGTGCACCATCAAAATGATTCTGAAGCTGTTATTTTGAGGTAGACAAGTTACATCATGTTGCTTTAAAGCCAACGCTGGCTAAGACAACCAAAGCCACTGACATATTTTTATTGTGCCTACTGGGAATCCTTAAATTTAACTCTACAGAATAATAATGAGGACTGTATGAATTTTTATCATTAAATGTGTTTCTCTTTAAGTCTTTTAACTTTAACTCTCTTTAACAATGACTTTCTAAAGTCAAACTGCATCCAAACTACACCACAGCAAAAGCCTTCCCCGATTTGATTTCCATGTTAAATATTCCTATTATATTATTACTTCTCCTCCAAAAGCAATACATTTGTATCACTGTGTATAACTGCATTCAGTTTAAAACACTGACTGGCCAATGCCCATCCTATTCTTTCCATTCTCACTCTCTGTACATAGACTACAAACATAAACCTTTACAAGTGATCACTTGGCAGGACAGACAACATTCTGATGTGGATTTAGGGTGCAGCTAGAAGCATCAAGATGACATTGAACAGTCAACATAAGATATGCAGTAAGACAGGACGTGGCTGCTTACATTTGTGTGTTTAATGACAACCGGGGATCTGAGCTTTTTAGGATGAATATGCTTACAATTTGAGAAAGACCATGTAAACATGAGGTTATTTCCTTTGTTTTGACAAAACTAACTATTAGATATCGACTAGATCTCCAATAAACTCAATCCTTTTTAGTGTTAAGTATGTGGCTACTTCAATTCAGTGAACTTGGCTTTCTGCAGAAAATGTGCGTATAATGACGGCAATGAAATCCACCCTCCATCAGTAAACTCTATGTACCAAAGTGTTTCCTTCATTTAGCTAGTTACCTGTACTTTTAGTGCACATCGTCTGTATGCACTGTCTGAGCTCAGAAATGGCAATTTATTGACAATTCCTGCATCAGTTTCAAAACTGACATAAGTAAGAATGTTTAATTTTACGTGAACAAACATTCTGATGCAAGTCACAACAGGCAGAAAACACAGTTAAAACCTCGTCCATTTTCAACAGTACGATCTTTTTACGCCCTGAGGATTAGCTGGGATCATACAATCACAAAAGACTTGTTAAGTCAGCTGCCATGCCAAGCTGGCTGAGGTCTGGATGTAGGTCACAAGTCTTACACAAATTATGGATTTGAATGCATCATTTTTATGAAAAACCAAAGAAATATTTTTAACTGGTTTAAACCTGATTGACACATAGCGTATAAGAAAGGGAACAACTGCTTCTCAGCTGATCTAATGTCTTCTCTGAAACTCACATGTGGGAAAATACCTGACACGAGGCACATGACAACACCCCCTGACCCTTCAAATCCCCTCGCAGTTTCATGTGTGTGTATTGCCCTCCCTTCTGAGTTTCCACCCCACCTGTAGCTGTATGTATACCCTGCTGCTTGGCTGACGCACACAAAGCTCGACCTATTGGACAGCCTCTGCATTCACTGCATTGCACTGCTGTCCGACTTTCACACACACACACTGTGTTTGGTAACAAATGCACGCAGTCATGAGGCTTTACTCGCAGACACACTGCACACACACACACACACACACACACACACAAATACACACACAGTAAATATATCCACTTGTACACAGTACAGTCGTCACAGGTGCCACATGTGATGTCTATCAACAAGTGTGACTTTAACAACAGTGGTGTCACCTTATACGTTGAGGTAGCACAAAGTAAACACACACCAACTCACAAACTCATGCCAACCGAGTTAGGCTTTGTTGTGCCCATGCCTGGATCAAGCTTTTCCAGTGCAACTGTGTCCCTGATTTTTCCAACACCAAATCCAAGACATTATTTTAGCAATTTAAATAGGGTCACAGCAGCTCCTCTGGTGCAACTAATTCGGGTGCGTTTTCAGTGGCCAAACCAAAAGAAATGGGACAAGTAAGGTGATCCATGGGAAAGTACCTTGGTGGATTAGGGTCAGGTCTCTCAGGATGCAGGGTGCAGTGTACAGTCTTTATCTTCTTGCAAGAAAATGCAGGCGAGTTTGATTTCCAATCAGTTAAGACAAGTCCCCCTTGGTTTAGATGAGCTTTGGGAAGAACAGTGCTTTCATTAGCCATTAGCCCACAGTGTGTATTTCCTTACAAGCAATAAAATGTTTGTCCCTGGCTAAGACGCTCAAACAAATACTATGGTAATAACTGCGTGAAAATGGGGTTACAATTACAGGATGAGGCTAAATGATCAAATATAGCATATTGCACAAGTGGAGAAAAGTCATACAGTCAGTAATCTGACTCAGTAATGTCTGAATTTATCTAAAGTTAGCTAAAAGAGCTAACGTCAGCCCCTATGAGCTACCGACCAAGATGGACGATAGCCTAGCTGCTAAATATGTAGTGGAGTGTATTCAACCGAGCGTGTTTCATTGCTATTGAATTCAGCTTTTCATTTGTGAGAGAAATATTGCTCATTTTAAAAGTTAAATTGTAGAGCTGTGTGAAAATGGTGTAATTTGTGTTAATGACAAATGCTAGTGTAACAGTAGCACAAGAGTTAGCAAACAGACAAGTATCGTCACTTGTACAGTAATATCTATTTAAAGTTAGCTAAGATTAGCTAAGACTGGCTAAGCTACTGTTCACATTATGTTATTTCTTAATTTAAAAGTTACACAATACATGCTAGTTTAACAGCAGTTAGTCCAAAGGTCCATTAAATGTTAAATGTTGCACAGTTTCACTTTAAATAGTAGAACTGTGAGGGTTAACTTTCACCATTATTCAGTAAGTCACTCTAAATTTATTTGTACAAATTATTTTCTTCCCCCTGGAAACTGACATCAACCTCTGACCATCAGTATTGCAATATTAGCATTCATGTCTCAAATCTTCCTTCCTCCTGTGTGAAATTAGCCTTGCAGACAGACAGTATTTTTATTGGCTGATGATATTTCAACACTTTGTAACAGAGCAGTTACTCTTTGCTCCAGAGCTATTACAACAAATTATTTACCAATATTGAAATTTGTTCAGAGGTGAGCAGACAAATGTCAACAGTGTGGAGACTTTCACTGATGAGTTATATTTTTCAATCTGAAGCAGTCAGACAGTATTTTGATACCGACCAGAGTATTTAATCTCTGGATGTAGCTTAAAGTTGATCGGTGCTGTTTTTTTTCTTTGTGTGTGTTCAGAAGCTGTACACTTTGGGGCTATTATGGTGGAAAATAATTTCCTTGTTGACTACAAATAACAATATCTATCTATATATTTGTATTCCACAGGGTTACTGTCACCTAAATTTACCAACACAACTTCAGCCGGGCAATAACCTGCTATCTAATCTGCAGTATGTTGACACACATCGATTCGTCTGTATAACAGATTCACAACACGTGTGCGTAAGGTCTGAACTTGACTGTACAGTTGGCAAGGTCATAGTTCAACAATTATAAGAGGTTTAATAATGCAGCTGAGAAAGCCCCTATTAGAAGAGTGTGTTAATATTGGGTTTGTGCAAACAAATAGGTGTATAGTTCTCAGATAAACCTGCATTGTAAATGTGTGTTTGAACTAGGGGAGGCGGCAGGTGTGTGCGCTCGTACCTGAGATGTGTTTCAGAGTGTGTGAGGGTGGATAACTATGTGCATGCATGGCCATGAGTAAACATTGCAAATATCTATACGTCTCCTATCCAGGGGTTCCTACCAGACACACAGATGCGTATTCAAACTCAGCATCAGTGGTGGTATGTGTATACTGTATAATTATGTATACTGTAGGTTTCATGGTATGTGTGCCCAGCTAAAATGGGAACATATACCTCTCGCCAGAGCAGAACACGCTCTGCCAATAAAGACCTCAGTAAGAGAGTTTGACTCAGGCAGCAAGTAGACAACCTCCGACTAGCCGCATGAGTAAAGACGTTGTTTGTTCTACCACACATGAGGGATCTTGTGTGTATGCTCCTATTGAGCAGCAATGCTATATGCGTGCCCGTATTAAAAGATGGCCGCTTTGAAGAGTCTACATCGATGGTCAGTACAGAGGAAGGTGGTCACTTTGAGTTGACAAACAAAATAAATAAATAAGTAAATAAATTCAAATAAAATGATTTGACAAAAATAATATCAGCTGAATTGAGAAAAAGAACAAGATTGTAATATATATTTGGATTTGAAGATCTCTCTCAATCAACAAATCTCAGGACCATAGTCAAAATTTTATTTATTTATTTAATTAACCACTGACTTCTGATTTCTACAGGTCTTGTCTCACAACATGAACGTCTAAAAGCTTTATTGTGAAATTAACTACATTTTTTTACTTTTGAGGTCCAAAAGTAGTCAAATTGAAATGAGCCTAAGACACATAATACACCCACCACATGTAAACTTACAACGGCATGACCTCAGCTTCTGCCCTGACATTATAGGCACATTGGAGCAGTGTGTTTGTTAGTAGATATGCCACATGTGACATTTTCACGGCTACTTCTTATTTTACAACGTAGATGTAAAATCAATATTTTTTACACAGAATTTCTCCTCCATGTCTTCAGTAAGAGTTGAATGTCTTATCTCTTCATGGTGGCAGCTGTGGCCTGATGATATAGGATATAAAAGCCTGAGTGACCCGCCTTTAGAGAGGCGTGGTCAAACATGGGGTGAATGGCACGTTGGAAGGGGGCGGGGAGCTCTAAAAATTACTACATCCACCCTTTCTGCCACCGCACAAGTATTCAAACAGATTGTAGACCTCGACGATACGAATTGGACGCGTTTTCTTTTCACACCTTATCGGAAGATTGATATTTTCTACATTTTTCTATCAAGTCCAACCAAGAGAACAGCTGTTCTGCTATGGCAAAAGGAGAGGGAGGTGAACAATACTCCAACGCCAGTTTATTGAATAAACCGGTCAGCTCGGATGGTATCACACTCGCCAGGAAGGTGAGTTTATGCATTGATTCAAAATGAGGGTTTGGTTTCTTCTGAATCACGTCTCACACAAGACGAGAGGGGAAAAAAAGGCTTGTTTCGACAGGAGTGTGTGTTGAAACACTTGAATAAATGGAGCACACCGGTAAATTGACATTTCCATACAGTGAGTCATGAACGGTGGCAGGGCGCGCGCCGCTCATTGCGATAATTCATCACCAGAGTTAATCGATATTTCCTTCATTAGTGACTCAGGAATTATTAGAGGAATCAAATAATTGATTAAAAAAAGATATATAAATTTAAACAAATGTGATTAAATTCAGTCAATAAATGAGCTGTACTCCAGCCCTTCCTCCCCGCTCTCATCCTCTGCGTATATCAACAGATGTAACATCATATCGATTAAATCCGATAAAACGAGGCTTCGGACGGTGTTCAACGCACTTAAATATAGTAGGTTTAAGTCATAATTTCTGTGTGTAGACTGTAATGATTGTGGTTGTCTGTGTACTCATTACCCCAGCCACATAGAGATAAATTAAAATCCCGAAAATGCAAACGTTGGCTACTCTTTCTTTCTTAACGACAGCTTTTAGCTAAAGCTCACGTTCGTTTTAGTTCTATTGTTAACTGTAAGTTAGCTCGTCAAATAAGCCTTATGCGTTTATACCTTTCTCATTTGCATAACGGTCTTTCTCATGAATTTAAATAAAATCGATGAAAACTGCAGCCACACTGGACATGAGAGTCTCTCAGAAACCACAGGTTGTAATGTCGACTAAAAACATGAGATATCTGCAGGCTTCATATCATTTTATTTTGGATTCAGTCGCCAATAGGTGTGCTTTAGTGCTGCGTTCAGGGTCTCCCCTGAAAGCCCCCTCACGTCTCAGAAAAGGTTCTCCATTTCTAGCACTTATTGACACATGTACGTCGAAATTATTACAAAACAATACGCTGGTGTGTGTCTTCTTGTTTCAGAAATATTGTGGCACAATGATTTGGATTGTAGTAGCAAAATGGGGAGGAGAACATTTGCATCAATTCACTGCCACAGTAGTTAATTGTTATGAAACAGGATACATGTAAATAATAATAATAATAAGCGATTTTTCTTCCCAAAAGTCTTCTCGGTTGTTGAACAAAATCTTCACTTAATTTAGTATTTCTAGTGCGTTTTGGGGCGGGGGTAATTCTAATATTTCCTACAGCTTTGAATGCAGCAGGAAGCACTCGCCAAGGCGACGTGTCAGACACAGAGGGAGCATGGGAGACTATTAATTCCAAAAAGCTTTTCACATTTCTGTCTCCAACTGCAGCATTAATCAGACATCCTTATACTAGCTTTCGAGTATTTGAAAAACCTCACCTGTTTATAGGATGTGAATTTGACCTGAGCACGTTCTCAGTCTACAGTGGTAGCATGTCATTATCATTACTGGTGATAACAGTGGCCTTGGGACAGTAATTGGTGGCTAGTTTTACAGTCTGTGTGAACCCTTACATCAACAGACACACTCTACTCAGCTACTGTAACTGATGGGACATGGATGCAAATGCAAAGAGGAGTTGTTTAAGTGGATTACTTAAAAGCAGTGTGATGAGAGTCAGTGACACTAATACAGTCATACTACCACCTATGATAGTTACATGACACAGTAGGTATGCAATGTCATTTTAAAAGAAGTCATTATTGCTTTTCTTGCACACAGGTAGAACTGGTTTAGGGTTAAATCACATAGTGAACATGAGTTGGACTCTAGTCAACTCTTTTCATAACTACTCTGCATTGCATTAAAGTTACATTGGTTTACGAAGTAATGTGCATCACATGGTGGGGGTCAGGTTTGGTCCTTGAGACCACTCATTTACTACCATGGAGACATGACCTAAATCTCCAGGTAGTCCCAACTGTTGTAAAGCCAGCCATTGTGTTCACTCACTAAAGTCTGAATAATTGGCTCTATGTTTTTGATGGTGCCGGTGTCTTATTTCATCCAGAGACAGTTTTGTCATCTAAACAAAGGCTGGGTTGGGTGTATCAACAAGACAAGGGTTGGTTCCCTCAGCTGCACTCACAGCGATGCTTTGTGTTGTGGTGTGATTTTTTTTTTTAAGATGGGGAGGGGAGGGGGCAGTGTCCGTTTTCTTCTCATGCGTATCGATGACATATACTTGAGGAACACTGAAATGTGCCTGCAGCTCAAGGTCATTTTCATTAGCGGATGATGCTATCTTTTATATGTTCTCTTAGGCTATAACATTACACCTTTCCTCATTCAACACCAGTGATTACATTTTTTTTTTGACCAGCTGAAAAGAGGGCAGATTAGGCAGCACCAAACAAAACCTCTTGATTGGCCAGGGAGGACGGTCTGCTGCGGGGCCGGAGTGATCAGAGCATTGGTCAAACTGGCAGGCCAGTGCAGACTGCTGCCAAGGTGCTGTCACCCTGGCTGTTGGTGTTGTCATGCCCTGGCACTGATCTGCAGAGATTTGTGTTGCTATTAGAGGAGTTGTTTAGTGTCTGACGGTTGAGGAAATTATTACATCTACAGTGGAGAACATGGAGAAGAATGAGCACTTGTTAGAAAACCAAGGGTTTCTTGTTTCCCAGTGGCTGTCCCTGACTTCTGCCAAATACACTACATGGTGGTTAGCTTTTTGCCAGCTGAACTTTCTGGTCTTAAGACTCTCTGGCGATTAAGAATTTAGGCTACATTCCTTATGAGTCACTGAAAAATGTGTTGTATTAATCTGACTAGTGAGAAATAGGCTGAAACTTGGAGAAACGATAGGTTGCAGATTAAATTACTTATACAGAAATTGAGCCTGGGGGATATAACTGTACACTGCTGTATTGCAGTCACCCTGTTAGGATTTAGCTGCTGTCGCCAACTCTGTAGAACTGACCCCTCCTATGACTGCAAGGGCTCTAAGGTTTGCAGACAGCTGCAAATACTTTAGCACACTTCCAAAAGTAGTTATTATCGTCTGCTTTTTACTTGTGTAAAATTCCACAATGATGGTTGCACTTTTAGGGTTAATGTAGTTAATAATTTTATTTGGTTAACGTTCTTTTTCTGTTCTCTTTCCTTGTTTTCCCCCCAGCAGGAAAGGAACAGGTTGTCAGTCTGCAACAAGATATGCTATGCCATCGGCGGAGCACCCTACCAGATCACAGGATGTGCCCTGGGTTTTTTTCTGCAGATCTATCTACTGGACGTAGCTCAGGTGAGTTGGTTGAGTTTATTTCAAAACTCCATGGTCACACCTGTCTATACATTTAGTCACTTTCATAAGACAGAGCTAAGTTTGGCCACCCTGCTGCCCTTAAACGACCACCTTACTGGGAATGGGAACATACTGTACACCCACACCTGTCAACCCTGTGTCCTGCCACAGTATCTGTGGTGGCATTTACAGTCTTGAGAACAAGGAGTTGTGCATGATATTCCTGTGCCCTTGAATCACCTTTCTCATAAGTGCACACACAGGACATTGTAATCACCATAGCTCACCAACAAAGGGGGCGATTATCCCAAGTAAATGAAGAGGTGGAAAAAGTTTCTCTTTCGTTTCCATTATTGACTCCATGATGGGGCTGCACTGTATCAAAAGGCTTACACAGGCTTGCTCAGAAAAATGTTTAGGAGGGGGTACGATGGTAGCAGGGGTGAGGAGGGGCTCGCTTTAATGGGCTTTGACAGTAATCTGATGGTTAAGGCCAAAATAGCGTGTAAGTCAACCGCTTCCCCGGGGTTTAGCTTTGTCGGGCTACAGAGATTGTTGATTAAGAGTCTATTGGCTGACACAGCGTGGCGCAGATTGTACAGTCAGGAGTGGAACATTCACCCTTTCTGGCTTTCAGTCAGCCTCGTCTCCTCTGCACAGTGCTGGATGAACAGCAGCCATGCTGAGCTGCCAAGTGACACTATTTGAGTTGACTCTTGCTAAGTGTTGCCTTTTGATTATTGACTTAAAACAAGCGGATAACTTAACACTACTCACTATAATGTCAAGATTAATTTTAAATCTACACTGCTGACTGCCTCATCAAGCAGCTTAACGGTTTAACAATACAGCCATAAGCTATGTATACAATAGTTTGTCAGTCATACATACATGTACAATGCCCAGTGTATTGTTTTTACGGTAGTAAAGGGATTGAATGTGCATCAAGAAATGACCCGCTGGATTGAGAATTGCATCTTTTACTGCCATGGTTTTTCACTGATCTTTGTGTCTTCTCCTTTTGGCAGCTCGATCCCTTCTATGCCTCCATCATCCTGTTTGTGGGCCGAGCATGGGATGCCATAACGGACCCCACAGTGGGCTTCTTGGTCTCCCGAAGCCCATGGACGCGGTTCGGACGCATGCTACCCTGGTAGGTCCAAATCCCAGCTGGAACCGGCGAGTGACAGTCTGATATTGTTAGTCTTTATTTTATATAGGTCTACATTTTTGAGCTTTTTAGTGGATCTGGGTTTTTTTCTCCGGAGCACCTTCCTCCTCCAGCTGTAACGTTTGAGACTCCAGACCGTTTCAATTAGCTTGTTGATAAAGCCCAGTTATATCATTGAAGCACTTATCACATATTTGCTGTTGGAAATGCGTAATGGGTGGGCTGCTGTCAGACTCTGTGAGTCAGCACTGTGAGTGTACATTTACCAGCCATACACTGTACATGTGTCAGTGTTTGGGGGCGGAGCTTTGTTCAGGAACTACATTTGAATTTTCCTGAAAGGGGTAACTACGAGTCACAGGGCTGTATGATAACATCATATTACGATTATTTTGACAGATCGTGCGACCATTTGTCCATTCAAGATCCCTACCCCCCTTTTCTCTCTCATTCACTCTCTCTCTCACACACACACACACACACACACACACACACACACACTGCTGCAATACATACAGGCCATAAAAGAATCTACTGAAAAATGCCTTTAGAAAACAAATATAGGGAGCTCCTGCGGGCAGTAATCTTGCACATTTCCTTTGGCATGGCATTGACAAATATAACTCCTGCCTGCTACCGTCTCTGCTTCTTTCAGCAAGCACACAAACCACTTTTCAGAAGGAATTCCCCCAGAGGATTCAGAATAATTGAATCTCTTTATGTTTAAATAGAGTGCTCAGTTTCAGCTGTTTGACATTATTATTATAATAATCTCATTTGTAAGTTGACATTGAGATATTTTTTGAATTGAACATCATTATTAACATTATTATTAGTTTGGTTTTAGATGAGTCTGACCACTGCACTTTGTGACATCCCCTCATTAAGAGCAGCCTGAAGCAAAAATAATGTTAAAATGTTGCTTTGCATCTTTGTCTGCGTGTGACAGGCAGGCTGAGGGAGTGGGAGGACTGTGACGCTCCAGGCCCTTTTCACAGAAGGGTTACTGACCCTTTTCTTTTGATTCGGCCCCTCCCCCACCACATCTCTGCATCTCAAGCTCTGAGCAACCTACCGGTACACGGCTTTATCTCATATGAGATATTTGTCGCTTCATGAATGTTGCATTCATAAACAGACCATGACAGTTGCAGACCCCTTCTGCAACTGCCATGTCTGAAGGGTTTAATTCACACCGTTATGTCAGAGACGGAGGGTGTAAGGTGTCAGTGTGAGCTGCTGGTTACAGAAGGGGTCTCCTGTCAACGTAGAAGATATTTTAGAGCCACTGTCACTTCAGTAGTCGGGAACATGCAGTACCTCCATAGAGCGATCAGGCAAAAAGGACAGAGCAGCAGAATGACACCCTAATAAGAAGAGGTAAATGTCTCAGAGGGTCGAGGCATCTTTTGTAATGAGCACCACAGGGAGATGCAGCTTATTTACTCCCTTGCCTGCTTGATTAAAAATGTAATTACCCTAGTACCCTTATGAAATGTGTGTAGCCTGTGAAAGAAGGGGCACAACTGGGAGATGTCATGAAGGTCTCATGTGGTCCCCGCCTCAGTTTCCTGTGTTAATGTTCCCTTCAGATGGGACCTGCATAATTAATTTACAATAAGGAAAAGGAATGGCCTTCCTGTTCAGCTGTTGGTTAGCACTTCCAGAGAAGTGTATCCTTACAAAGGAAATGATTCAATTTATATGTCATGGAACATGTATGGTTTTAATTGACGCCACGTCACACGCTCTTACAAACACCAAACCAATCAGAGAGAGAGAGCAGTGTTGTCAAATTGCTGACTTTCTTGCTAGATTTATGGACTTTTTAGAAACTCTTAGTGACTAGCAACAAAATAAGCAACTTATTCAGACCATAAGGAAAAAGGTGGACAATATATGGTTCTTCTGCCACCAGCACCGGGGTCTCTCCCTCTCCTCTTGCATCATGTGCAGGCGGTCACTGGGTGTGGCATGTGAGGCACCTTTGACCTCCGGGTCTCTGGATTAGGGTGTTAGCCTATATGTAAATAGTTTGAGCGTCTAAATATTTAAACAGTTTGTTTGATCTTCTCCCTCCCTTGTAGATTTTTTACATTTTCACTTTAAATATATAATGCCACTGTAGTGCGTTTGTGATTATTTAGCTAAACAATAATAATGTTCAAAGTGTGTGTGTATGTAAATTTCCATTGCCAGGAAGGACATATGGGTTTGCAGTGTAGTTTGCAGTGATGCATTTATTGATCAAACAGGAATAAACAAAAAACAGTAACTCAACCAATGAATAAAAGATTAAAGAAAATAATGAAAAATATAAAGTGGTTATCAACAATTATTCCAGAGTAGCCACTGTGAACCTTATTTTTAGATTTCTACATGTTAGCAGTGTCATAGATATCCATCTTGAATCAATTTTTAATAAAAAAAATTGCATACATATTTTTTTTTGCATGTATACTGTTTATTCATACAATGTGAGACTCTTATATCATTATTGTAATGTTCAGCCATCGTCAAGATGCTGATGTTTGAATCTCAAAAAGTGGGTCATGCGTGGCGCTGCTTGTGCACAGCGAGATGCATCTCGTCCGTTTGTCAGAGGTAGGGTGTGGGTGGGATGATTGTTGGAGGAAGAAAGGATGGAGGAATGATTGGCATGTTGAGTCACATTACGGTCGGTTCAGTGACGAACGGAGTAAAACATGAGCGGAGTGCCTGAGAGCAGGGAGGAATTGGCAGAGAGGCGGCTCCATCTTACAAACTCTGTGTTTAGGAAGTGGGGGAGGGGAGAGTGTGTCAGGGTAGCTTCTCATTGGGCCAGCCCACAACACACCACATACATGAGCCAATAGCGCATCGCTCTCCGTTATGAAGGCCCGGTAGGATTTTTAAAGACTGGCTGAGGAATCTGGGAGGTTACTACAGTTCAAGTTGTGCCACAGGGGTAGAATGAGTTGTACTGTTGTTACTGCGGGGCTACAGGAGTGGTCAGGAGTGACAGACTGCAGGTTTCCTACTACTCCTTAAACATACATTTGTATTAATTTCTTTGGACACTGACAGTTATGTTTGTATTACTACTGCAAAACCTACTGACTGCCTGTCTAGCTTAATACGACTTTCAAACTGAAGCTGAAGATGAAGTCAAGGCCTCAAAACCAGAATCTTGGCTTGGTTTTCATCTTTGATTACAGCTGTTTGCCCACCCAGCCCCAATGATGGCTGCCAGAATACAAAATCACATATTGCTGTCATATTGTTTCATATTGTTACATTCTGTCTATAAAACCGGCTCTCACAGTTGATGCAGCAGGCTGAAAGCTGTCACCTGCCAAACTGAGATAAAATCACCTTCCTAGTCAGCACGGCTATTCAGAGCACATTTAAATATGGTTCCAGGAAGGGCATCTGGCCAGTACTTACATGGCCTTCTGTGTCTCTGCAGTTCTGCAAGCACAGTGCAATAGTTGGCGTAGCCTTGCAACCTGTTTAAAGCAGAGGTTTTCCCTGACTGATAGAAGTCAAATTAAGTAGTGTGTTTGATTTGGTAGGTGTTGGTCTCATTTGGCACAGAGGAAATAGGCTTGCTTTGGAATTGCATTCCTGAGTGTGATTTCATTTCTTGATAAAACACCTGCTTTAACTTGCACACCACTCCTGCACTCCCACACTGACTGTTTGCAGTTGCACGCAGTGCGGTCACGTCAGCAGTCATGCAGAGGAGAGAGAATACCGAATGCCACTCCTCCTTTTCACTTTACATTTTCTCTCTGTAAAGCATGTACTGTTTATCTGGCTGTAAATGAGCTTAAGTTGATCGGTGCTGAGTCTGTAGTGAAGCTCTTAAGTTGCAGATCACTTTGATTTGATATCAGTCACTGCCAAGAAGAGAAGTTGCGTCATTCATGACGACCGCATGCTGTTGCTTGTGGTCTGTTGCGTTTATGAGACCATATCCTGTTTGATAAGGATGAATCACCTGATGTAAATGTAATAAACTATTCCTGTAGAGAATAGATGGACAAGCAGGATGCCCGAGCTGCTTCCTTTTCCACAAGCCAAGCTTGTGTCCGGAGAGATGTGGTTGTTCTCACAAACTCATATCTGATTGGACGGAGATTATCAGGTCATAGGAAAAAGGAAGTAATGAGAGGAATTCTATGGGGGCGTTCCTGCCTTTTTTTCCTGCTAAAATGACATGATATTACAGGATGATTTAGACATAGGCGTACAGATGTATTTACAAAACTGAAATGACACATTCTTATTCATATTTTCTTAAACTCACACACATACAGTTGCCACATTGAAGCATCTTTATGTGACAGAGGGTGTTGAATGAGTCATTTGTACAGGAAAAGACATGTTTGGCAAGATTCACCAGTTATATCCTCACATAACCACCAGCCATACTTGAAGGCCAACCTGTTTCATGCATTATGAACACAAGGAACACTGTGTCTCTATTAATGATAATCAGTGTGAAGAAAAGTTGGCACAAATTGAATGGCCAAAATGTGTTATGTAATGAGTGGCCCCTCACTCCATTAAGACTGGTAATTGTTTACTGTGTTTTCGCGCTCGAGTAGGATCACGTTTTCATCCACTGATGTTGTTTTTGTCTTTTCTCGTTCCTCTCCCCCTCTCCTCTCCTTTGTCCATCTGAAGGATCCTAATCTCGACCCCTCTGGCTGTGCTTGCCTATTTCCTCATATGGTACGTTCCCCCCTTTGAGGATGGCAAAGTCCTCTGGTACCTTTTCTTCTACTGCATCTTCCAGACCCTTCAGACTGTGAGTACCACAATAGTATACACACACACACACACACACACACGCACACGCACACACACTCACACACTATGTGACTACTCTGTTGACTCATGAGTGTAATACAGTTCAGGGAAATGTTTAGTTTTCCAATTAGATTTTTTTCCCATTTCCACACCCTAATTGTGATTCATGTTTTGTTTTCAAATCCTTCAATTGCACAATAATCTAAAATAAATCACTCAAAGGGAAAGTTGGAAAAATGATTATTTGTTTTCTCGCAAAAAATAAAATCAGATTGATCAAAGAAGATTGATATCAGTCTCTGCGAGTGGTATAAATCTTGCAAAGAACAATGACATTAACTTGCTTTGACAAAATTTAAGAGCTGTATTAATTTTTCTTACCATGCTTCTCTTTTTCTTTGCAAATCAGTGCTTCCATGTGCCGTACTCTGCCCTCACCATGTTCATCAGCTCAGAGCAGAAAGAAAGAGACTCAGCCACTGCATACAGTGAGTATCATAATCAGCATGTACAATTATTATTTTCTAAGTGAATCTCCTGACAGAAAACAAGTCTAGTGTGTCTCCTCCTCAATGACTAAACGTCTCTTGTGTTTGCCTCCAACCAGGGATGACGGTGGAGGTTCTGGGCACCGTTCTCGGTACAGCTGTCCAGGGACAGATTGTGGGTATGGCAAACGCTCCCTGTCTCCCAGGACCCGGTGACCTCGTGGCAGACCTGAGCAACTCCTCAAACTCTGTCGGACTCAATAACTCAGAGCCAGTCATTTCCCTGGAGCACACGGTAAACAAAGGAGTCATGAGTCATTAGTCATATGTTTGACGGTAAACACTAATAATAACTTTACTGGTCAAATGGCTAGAACTGATGAGTGCTTAAATAGAATCTGTGAAACAAACAGTGCTAACTGTCATTTTCCTCTTTTGATCTTCCTTACAGAAAGTGGCCTACATGATTGCTTCTGGTGTCATCTGCTTAATCTATTTCCTCTGCGCTATTGTGGTTTTCTTTGGTGTGAGAGAACAGAAAGGTAAGGCATCAGTCTCTCAATGAAACAGCCTCCGTCCTTCACTTTAGAAGCCATTATCCAATCTGTAAATTGCCTTAATTTGACTTTCATTCGAAGCCAAAATGAGGGGAAAAACTAAGGGGGTGAATCAGAGATTCATCTTTTGCTTTTCAAATTGTTGATTCTTGACTTTGAAATTGCATTATATAAGACAGTCAACTTTTTGCTTTAAACTTTTAACCATTAAATCAAACTTTTTGTGTGTGAATCTTTTGTTAATCGAGCCTAGGTTTGTTCAGTTTTGTTACTATTAAAAACCCTGAAAAGTTGCTCTAGTTCAACATCCTGATTGGACTCACATAAACACGTTAATGTGACACATGCACAGTTAAAGCTGTATGCTGTAGTATGACTGGGCTGTGAGAGCACGCAGGCTTTGGGTTAAATGAGAAACCTTGTGACCAGCAAGAGGACTAATAGAAATTCAGTAAAGGAAGAGGCTGAAAGGCAGCTCATGTAAAATTTAAAAAAACAAAACATGGCAGTGGGAAGAGTTTAAAAATGTATTCAAGTGGATGGAATTTTTTTAACATCTTTGTTCATTCTTTCCTACTTTTCCTCTTTTCAGAGTCTTGTCGCCCCAGGTCAGAGCCCATGGGTTTCTTCCAGGGGATTAAGCTGGTGATGGGGCATGGACCGTACGCCAAACTGGTCATGGTCTTCCTCTTTACCTCGCTGGCTTTCATGGTGCGTATAGAGAGAGACACACACACACACACACACACACACACACACACACACACACACACACACACACACACACACACACACACACACTTTTACCATGGGCTTGATTAGTGTATGTACAGTATGTCAGTCTCACCTAGCTCTCTGTGTCTACCCACTGTTTGTGATTCAGTGACTGATTTCAGCCGGCTTGTCTTATGTGAAATGTTGGGAGTCTCACCCTGGTTCGTGCTCCCAGCCTGAGTGTACTTGGCGCCTGCAGGGTTGGCCCGAGGCGTGTGTATTTGTGTGTTTTAGGCAGTAAATTTGACTGTGCGAGTCTCTCTGCTCTCGTCCCGCAGCTCCTGGAGGGAAACTTTGCCCTTTTCTGCAGCTCCACTCTGGGCTTCAGAAATGACTTCCAGAATATCCTGCTGGTCATCATGGTGAGTACACATTTTCAGACAGATAGGTGCACTGTTCCCATAGCAACGGCTGCATTTCCCTCTGCGTACGAAAACCTTGAGCAGCCCGTTTGTGTGGAATAAGTTAAGCCATTAGCTCCAGAGTGCAGACAAAAGCTTCCCTCTGAGGGCGAACACATAAATTGTCTTCAATTACAAGGCTGCTCTGTTCTTGGTTAGAAAGCAGTGTCTCCTGGCTGCACATTTCCATGATGTGTGTCCACTCTGCCTGAATGCCACCCCATTCCCACAGACAGGGAAGGAGCCACCTTTCATTATTCTTTCGTTTATATCTCTTGACCCCTCTTGGAGTTCCTCGTATCAAAGAATCACCTCAATCCTGACGGGTATTAAACCCAATTAATCCATAGATATGACTTGTGTAGCACGCACAGCAGAACTGTACGGGGGTGAGAAAGTACAGGTTAGTGAGGTTGAAAAGATTACATGCTTTGATCCTTTACTTTATGGAAAGGATTATGGAGCCAAGGCAGTAACCTCTTTGTTAAAGTACATTTATTTGGTGAAATTACCTTTTTTAGAGACTTCAAAAGTGTGAGCTGTCACAGGAACTGCTCCTTTTGAAGTTACCCATAATCGGCACTAATCCTCACCTTAAGTAATTTGATGAAATGTCAGATTAATCCTGAAAGCTCAGATCTTCTTAGAACAGAGATAAATTAAGCAAGTCAGACTAACAGGCATTATATAAGGAGGCATATATAACTGATTGAAACGGTCAAAATCAAATGTAATGAAACGCTGTGTGATCGCAACAGTGAGTGTTTAAATGATTGCAACAAACAAAAGGAGACTTGTGCATCCTTTTTTGCTAATGTGAGGCACGTTGCAGTAGGTAGGTGCTGTATGGGACGTTGTTCTCTCACTTTGCACCGCAAATTAACTCAATTTCAAGGGCTGGATGGTGTTTATGTCAGAGGAGTAGCCATGTTGTGCTACTCATTTTCATTTGGTGGGAAAACACTGAGGTTAGCTGTGTAGAATGTGCTTTATGGGGTCTGTTTAAAGATAAAGCCATATTAATTGATCATTATGTTTCATTCATTTCATTTGAGATAAGGCTCATAGGGCAGAGGTTGAAAGGTGTGTGAGCAGTGGCAAAGACTGCTGATGTGGCAGTAATGCCAATGAAATGAAATCATATTCGCTCAGTGTGAAACCACATAAAACAGAGTGTGAAGCCACTGAACAAGTCATCATACAACAGCATTACAGAACAGAATGTGTGGGTGGTTTCACCCATATCATGAGAAAAGGTGGGAAAATACTGTTGCACCATTGCTTTGTGTTATCTTTACCTTAGTCAAACACGCAGGGGTCAGAGGCCTAACTGATCTGAGCGAACCCTCCGCCCCCCTGCAGAGTCATAGGATGACCCCTGTGGAGGTTTGCATCACATTTGAGCTCAACTTTGTTTTGGGAAGATCCCTAGAAACCACATTGTCTTCCATAGTTGCTGTGGTGTTTGGCAGATACGAGAGGTCAAATGCGTGTCCTTCTGCATCTGCACACACGTGTTGTCACACCCAAATAGAGGCTGAAACATTTCGAGAATGTTGTGGATCTTTACTGTGATGTAGCATTAGAGGGTCCTTTTGCAAAATCAGGATAACCTGTAAAAGAGGGGCCTTCTGTGGAATTTACGGGAACTTTTGTGAGTTTAGTCAATGTTTGTGTATGTCAAAACGAAATCAGACAGCTGGTTAACCAGACTTTGAATGTTTTTCCCCCCTCAGCTCTCTGCTACTCTGGCTATCCCCTTCTGGCAGTGGTTCCTGACTCGCTTTGGGAAAAAGACTGCGGTTTACGTTGGCACCTTGGTAAGGCCCAGAATTACATCCAAACACCACCTCTAAGTCTTAAGAAGCCTATAAGACTGACAGGCATTCGTGGATATTCTACTTTATGAGTTGTAGGAAAACGGCTCTAGTGTCATTAAGAGACTTGTTTAGGAGAAGTAAATGTCTGAATGACAGCTGATGTAGTGCGCTTTAGTGGTCTAATGTGCTTCTGTTCTTTCCAGTCTGTGGTTCCCTTCATGATCCTGGTGGTGTGTCTGAAGAGTAACCTGATTGTCACCTACATTGTATCCTTCGCTGCCGGAGTTGGACTGGCTACAGCCTTCCTTCTGCCCTGGTAAGACCCCTGCTGTCTCCTCTTTTTTTCTTTTCTTATCAGGAATACACACATATCTAAGCAATCATGACTCTAACTTTTTGTGTTTTTCAGGTCTATGCTGCCCGACGTTGTTGACGATTTCCAAGTACAGAACCCAGACTCCACCGGCCATGAAGCTCTCTTCTATTCCTTCTACGTCTTCTTCACCAAGTTCGCCTCTGGAGTCTCCCTTGGCATTTCCACTCTCAGTTTAGAGTGAGTATTCACTTAATCTCCACACACACACACACACACACACACACCACACACACACACACACACACACACACACACACACACACACACACACACACACACACACACACACACACATCCATCAATCATGCACACTTATATTACTGACCATACAGACATCCACACCCCACATCCTAATAATCCTTAACTGGCACTTAATGTACTTAATTTGGTTAAATTTGGCTGGTTAAAATGTGTTTTTGTTATCCTGGTGTGTCTCCTGTTTGACACACAGACACACATAACCTACATTGTAAGTCATTCAAACCATTTTTGTAGGTGTTTCATTCAGCTTTTATCCAATGCACAGTGACACAATAGAAGTCTAAATGAGGCTAAGCCAAATCTCCCAGTCGCCAAATCCCACATCAAAGCACGGAATTCCTTTTGCTTTCATTAGATTAAGTACAAAAAGGCTGTAGTGTAGCATCACATGACTGACTTTAGAGTGTTGGCCTTTGATCAGCAATTTGGTGCCTTCACATCAAGATCTTGGATAGTTTCCATAGTTAGTGTGTGATGTGTACATATAAAACCAATGCTCTGCAATCAGTAAAGATGAGAAATACTTCTGTTTTCAGTTTTAAAATGTATGTTTCTTCATTTTCAGTTTTGCAGGTTACATCAGTAGAGGCTGCACTCAACCAGAAGCAGTGGATTTAACCTTGAAACTGCTGGTTTCCGCCGCCCCCGTAGCTCTGATCATAATCGGCCTGACAATACTGTACTCGTATCCAATCAACGAGGAGAGGAGGCAAGGCAACCGCAAACTGCTTCAGGAACTAAGGTAAGGCGTGTGGATTGAAATGTTTTACTCTCTTTGGTTTGCGTGTCCGTGAAGCAAAACTCCAACTGAAGACACTTTATTTTCTCTTGCAGGGACAACGAAGCAGATTCAGAAACGGACTCGACAGAACTGGCCAACATTGTCTAGCACATTTTTAGAGACCCACAGACCAATCAGTTGATCGACTGGTATTTTGCACTGGACGGGACCAACGGATGTGGGCCTGTCGGATCATACAGACACTGCCTTGTCCAATCACACTGCTGCTGTTCCACATCTAGAAACTTGACGACAAAACACTTTCCCAGCATGAAATTCGCTCTCCTCTTTTGTTCAGTCAGACAAGTACAAAAGCCTTACTTTTTGTATAACATACTACTTTTGAGTACTGTGCAAGACGGTTTCAGTTTAAATTGCACAACACCATGAAATTTGGTGGGAGCATGTTTTGTCAGTGCTGCCATTATTGGTGCTACTTGCTGGAGCTGACCAGTTTACATCCTTGTACATGACACATGACCTTGAGCACTGCGCCAAAAACGACTTGGTAGTTCTGAGATGTGAACATTGTGAGAAACTTGAACAAACAGCCTTAATTTCAGCCCTGTTTTGGGGTTAAAAATATCAAAACTGACAGTGTCAGTTACTTGCTCTTTTTTTTTTTTTTTTTTTTTTACATGTTTAAATGCATTTTGTAATTTTTACAAATAATCCTCATAGTTTACTTAAGCCAGTCAGCCAGTTTGTTTCAGTGAGTTTCCATCTCATTCCCATCCCGCTTTTTTTATTTTAAATAAGCCGTAATAATGTGATGTTGGAACTGGTATACAGTGACAGCTGTGCTCTGAAGGGCTCCTTTTTAGGTCTCCACCATAGTACTGAAACCACTACAGTAGTAAAAGCAGTTAGTTCGCACACATAACTGCAATGTTTATTCCATCAAGTGCATTACTCTCATTATGTTATTTATAGGACACCTACTGAAGACGGGAAATGCTTCTTTCCTCTAAATGCTTTAATTTCCATAACACTGAGAGTAACTGGAGCTACAGCCTGTACTAGTTTAGTGATATCATTATTTAAATATTTATTAGTTTTAATTTTTCTGTTTATGAATTAATATTTGCTGGGAAACCGTGCCTCTTGCAGTATTTAAATCTATTTAAAGCCTGTGTGGTTCCAACTGAATTAGAAGTTTCACAATGAGGAAAATGGGGATGGGAGGCAAATTTTAAAACATTTACACAGCTTTTAATGCATGTTGCCATCTCTACTGTCTTCGCTCCATAAGCATTCAAAAAGGGAAGCACATGAAAGAAGAGTTTTGGATGTTATTTTTTTGTGTGTGTATATATATATATGTGTGTGTGTGTGTGTGTGTGTGTGTGTGTGTGTCTGTGTGTTCATTGAAGGAACAGCCAGGATGATATGTGACATCATCTCAATCCTTGTCATGAAAACGTGGATTGCCATATTTCATATCTGTTGATATGGAAATGTGTACATACAGTGTAATATGTTATACATACTGTTACATCTTCGACATGTTGTTTCTGACAACTGGTTTGCTGATGTGAAAATGTTTCATTAACTTTATTCTTTTTTTTCTGACCCAGAGGTTCCTTACATACTGTATATGCCAATATTGTGCCATTTTCACTCACTACGCATGTAATAATTGTACATCCTGTATATCTCATCCTGTTTTATTTTGTCAGTGTTTTGCCTTTTATGGATCTGTCAGTGACCTGCCCTCGTGACTCTTGAGGCTGTAGCCAAATGTGTGAGCTTTAATCCCACAGGGACACACAGAAGCCTTTTGTACATGCCTCCTGTGCATATGTATATATTGTATGTAAACCTGTAAATATCTTTGATATTTGTGGCTGCAAGTGAAATGAACTTCTGTACACTGTACTGTAGTTATTTAAGAAAATGTTGAGATTGAAAAAGATATTGTTAATAAATACTAATAAGTGTACTGTGAAAGAGTTGTCAGCATTTTCACTTTTCATTTTACACAGCTATGAGCCAAGCTTTAGCCAATTTAAACAAGAACAAATATGGAAGAGTTGTTTATGTACACACATGCATCATGTGGATAATTAGCCATAATCCACACAAGAGAGAATGATATTTTAGTAGCTTCTTCTATACCCTGTCTTTTAAACATTCAAACTGTCCTGAGGCAGCTGAAGCAGGTTGGAAGAGAAGCAACAATGGCGATTAAATGAGGTGATTCAAGGACAACATAAAAGTAATATTGAGTTTACAGCAGGTCCATCTATTTACACATTGAGCATTATTCATGGTAAACTACTGCCACCTAGTGTCCCAACATTGGTATGACACCAATAACCAAAAACAAGCTTGAAGTTACTGTAAATGTTACCATGATTAATTACCCATAAGGTTCCTTTTTTATAGCAGCTATGTCTCATTCCACAAAAGTAACTAACTGGAATTGACTTTTTAATTGTTTAAATTTGAGGACATATGAGATATATGATCATATTATCACATCCATTCTGTCAGTTATTTTGGCTGTTTCGGTGACTGTAGCAATACTATACCACAGCACTGTATAAAGAATGATGACTTGTGAATTGATATCCAGTTTTATATTTAAATGTTTAAGCCCCACATTATTGTCACATTGTCATCGCAGTGCATATTATGAATGTTGCGGTGCTTTTTAACACCATTAACATAAAGCAGAACTATGAGCTGTTACCAGTTTCATTTGATGACCGCATAAAGACGAGTTCATGTAAACACAGTAAACGCTTCTTTTAGGAATCGTGCGCTCTTATTTTGAAGGAGGAACACTCAAGCCGGAAGTGTTTGCATCCTGTTAGCCAACAGAAAAAAAGCGTAGCTCCTCCACCTTTCTGGCTGCTTTTACTCCATGTCTGTCATAACCACAAAGAAACTACAACGACGTTAGCTGGACAAGCACACAGTGTAAAAACAAACATTATCAAACATCTGCTTCATGGACTTGTACAGGCTTTATTCTCTCCGCTCACTCCGGTAGCTTGGCATGGCTGCTAACCCTCCAGCACCAGGCTTTCAGAACAAGACACGGGTGGCCATCCTGGCGGAGCTGGACAAGGAGAAGAGGCGGCTGCTGCAGAGCCAGTCCATGAACAGTCCCGGAGCCAACATCCCTCTGTCGTCCAGACCCAGCCTGAAGGAGGTGAGGGACAGCGCGGAGCAGCAGCACATCGCCGCCCAGCAGAAGGCCGCCCTGCAGCACGCCCACGTCCACTCGTCCGGCTTCTTCATCACTCAGGACTCCTCGTTTGGGAACCTCATCCTGCCGGTGCTCCCCCGGCTGGAGCCAGACCTTTGACTCTGACCCTTGCAGCAGATAGTGTCCGGTGACCCGGCCCGGGTGGACAACTCACATTTGGTTCTGTCTCTTTTTGCGTTCTGTGTCCTGTAATCATTTTATTGGTGATGTTAGAGTCTAAAAGACTTCACTGACAGAATAAAATATGGTATTTGAACGCAATCAGTGTTTCTCTATTAGCAGGGCTGTAGACAGAGAATCAGGGTCCCCAGAAAGCCCCCATTGCACCAGGGTCCCCACTGTAGTTAATGATACAGTTATTACCTTTCTCTTAGTACATGAATGTAGTGCGACAAGAGTGTAATAACACACAAATAACACACAGTTCTTACAGTCAAAGCTTTTCTGATGGGAGGGAAATCATTAGCACCCTGAGAGTTTGATAAATAATAATAATAAAACATTATTGGAAATCAATGTTTGCATTAGTGCACATTATTTGATCAACTGCAAAACAGGAATTTGCAACATAAAGGTACAGCATCAATTAAAGTGGGCCCCGTATGCTGCTACTCATCTGGGCCCAGTGTCAAAATGTGCTTTTAAGACTTGAATGACTTTATATGGTAGATATAATAGATAATATTGTGATCAGTGAAATCGCCACTGACATACAGCACAGTCGCCCAGAAGTACAGATTTGTTTCTGTTTCTGTTGGTTGATAATTAAACTCTATTATCTGTGTGCACTGTGGGTGTGAATGACCATAATTACGTTAGGAAACATTCAGTATAATATATAACATTTCACTCCTCTGGCAGACCTTATGCCTGCATCGATCATTGGCTCTGCTGTCTGCACTCGATTGCTTCCCCCTGGAGCGCAGAGGGAGTCGATAGCAGAGCGGATGCTATGGCTGATGCAACACACTGACAGGTCCACCCTACCGGCTCTTCTCACCCACGTCTCATTACAAGAAGACAGGTTTCGAGGTGAGTCCGTGGGTGGTACATTAAGGCTTTATGGCAGACTGATATTTCTATCACATAGAGTGAAAATGTAGATATTAAAATGGCTGTTACCCGCTGCTATAACGTTAGCTGCACATGGTTCTGTTGCTCGCTAGCTAAGTAGCGCTAGCTGGCCGGGTCACTGATAGACTGAATGGCCTGTTGCTAACATATGGATTCATTATAGAAGATAGTTAATGTTAGCCTGTAGCTCCTCGCTGTGTGCTGTACGGTTTATAGGAATCATGGGATACGTTTCACTGCGGTTTACATTTACATACAGTGTCAACATTATGATCGATCCCCTCTGGTTGCTTCCGCCCTCTATGGTGCAGTATTAGTCTCAGTCAGTTGTGGTGAATATTACCCAGTTACCTCCTTGTCGGACTAAGGGAAACATTAAACTGAGAGGGATTTAACTGATCTCTGCTCTAGAAAGACAAAATGAACCAAAGCTGCTGATTTGAACTCATAACTGTTCTTTACACTCTCCTCTTCCTGATCAGAAGGACCTGCACCATGGCAGATCAGCTGAGTCCGGATGAGAAGTTCGACCTCGTTACCAGGAACCTCCAGGTGGGAAACGCAGACCGATATATACTCACAGTGTCTCAAAGCCCCCCCCGTTGCTTGGTCTCATGAATCTCTTCTTGAACATGGGTATTGCAGGAGGTCCTTGGAGAGGAGAAGCTGAAGCAGGTTCTCCAGGAGAGAGAGCTGAAGGTGTACTGGGGCACAGCGACCACTGGAAAACCCCACGTAGCTTACTTTGTCCCCATGTCCAAGATAGCGGACTTCCTCAAGGCTGGATGCGAGGTGGGTAGACCTCATCGAGCATCTGGTCTGATGTTAATGAATTCTGAGACTTCCTGCTGAATCAAAGCTTGTGTTTGATTCTTCTTCTTCTCCTCCTCAGGTCACTATTCTGTTTGCAGACTTGCATGCCTACCTAGACAACATGAAGGCCCCCTGGGAGCTGCTGGAGCTCAGGGTGAAGTACTACGAGCAGGTCATCAAGGCCATGTTGGAGAGCATTGGTGTGCCTCTGGATAAACTCAAGTTTGTCAAAGGAACTGACTACCAGCTCAGCAGGTCAGTTGCGCTGACGTTAGCCAGAACATGCGTTTAGTTAACGTTACATTCTCTGAAACAGAAGCTGCCGTATACTTAAACTAACGGTGTAGGTCTGTATTATCGTGTTTGTCAGGGAGTACACTCTGGATGTGTACCGTCTGTCCTCCATGGTGACGGAGCATGACGCTAAGAAGGCTGGAGCTGAGGTCGTCAAACAGGTGGAGCATCCGCTGCTGAGTGGCCTGCTCTACCCTGGACTGCAGGTAATAACACTGTGCTGGATGGAGTAGTAACTGTCAGACTCATCGCACAGCTACTGAGGAGCAATATAAGATTAGTCTGGGTCTCCTCAGAATGCCAGAGATACAACGAACTGCAGTTATTACTGTCATTACAGCAAAGTGTCCACATGTTATATATATAATACACTAAATAAAAGCTGAATGGAATGCACCCTCTCATGTTGAACTCTTTAGAACTTGTTTTTCATTAGTTTTTCCCATAAAAATATTTACTGTTACTATTGGTTGGATTAGTAAATGGGTTTTCTCTTTGTCCTCAGGCTCTGGATGAGGAGTACCTCAAGGTGGACGCCCAGTTTGGAGGAGTTGACCAGAGGAAGATTTTCACTCTGGCAGAGAAGGTACCATCTCCCTCCATCTTTGAACATTTATGTCAACCTCTTACCTCCTTCTGCCTTACAGCAGTTGTTGTAGAACTTGATTAGTTTAGGAGCAGATGTGAGTTTGTTGATAGCACATGGCTCTTTTTTTTTGGACTACTTTGAAATAAAAAATCAGATTTATTGACTCCAGTTTCATTAAGTATGAAGATCATTATAGAAACGATGAACCATACATGTCTCAGTAGGATGATCCCATGAAAGAGTTTTCAGAATAAGATCTCTATAAAATATAAACTGTAACTGTAGCCATTCATTTATCTCCAGTACCTGCCCTCTCTTGGCTATGCCAAACGTGCCCATCTGATGAACCCGATGGTACCAGGACTGACAGGGACCAAGATGAGCTCCTCAGAAGAAGTATGTTACAGTAAAAGTTAAGATTTGTATGAACATTTTCTTCTAATGCTTGTGTTCAGTGTTAACATGATCATTCTTGGCTGCAGGAGTCAAAGATCGATCTCCTGGACTCCAAAGAAGATGTAAAGAAGAAGCTGAAGAAGGCTTTCTGTGAGCCAGGCAACATCCAGAACAATGGAGTCCTCTCCTTCGTCAAATATGTCCTCTTCCCTCTACGCGGAGGTAGAACACTTCTCCTTCTGTTGGCTTGACTTCAGGCTTTTCCTCTACTCGTATAAAGGGTATAAAATGAGTTGATAATTACGATCACTGTGTTTCAGAGTTCTGCATCAAAAGAGACCCCAAGTGGGGTGGAGACAAAATCTACACTGGGTTTGAAGAGGTGGAGAAGGACTTTGCTGAGGAGGTAAAGTATAGACACACACAGGTTTATTTGAAGAATATAAGCCGTTTATAAAGTATATCTCTGATTGAATTTTGGTCTAACCAGCGATGATCTCTGACCTTGTTAGACCATCCACCCAGGAGACCTGAAGGCCTCAGTGGAAACGGCACTAAACCAACTGCTGGAGCCAATCAGGAAGAAGTTTGAGTCTCCAGAGCTCCGCAAACTTACCAACTCTGCCTACCCCAACCCCTCAAAGAGTCAGTATCTTACCCCTCGCCTCACTGCGTCTTCCCTCTCTCATGTCATTTTAATCCCCAAATGATAGAGGTGTGGCTGGTTCTGCATTAAATGACATAATTTGTGTGTGTGTGTGTAATCAGAAGGAGCAGCAAAGGGTGCCAAGGCAGGAGGAGGTGGAGGAGGAGGAGGAGGAGAGGACGACGAGCTGGCCCCCTCCAGACTGGACATCAGGGTGGGCAAGATCATCAGCGTGGAGAAGGTAGGACGCCAATACCGTGATGCCTGATTTCTTCAGATGGCGTGTGTGGAGATGATCCTCCTGTATTACAGCCCCCTGGCTCTGTGTTCACATGGGTTTATCTGTTGTCCACCTCCCAGCATCCCGATGCTGATTCGCTGTACCTGGAGAAGATCGACGTGGGAGAACCGGAGCCGAGGACGGTAGTCAGTGGGCTCGTGGCCTATGTTTCGCAGGAGGACTTACAGGACAGATTGGTGCTGTTGCTGTGCAATCTGAAACCCCAGAAGATGCGAGGGATTGAGTCTCAAGCCATGCTGCTATGTGCCTCCATGTGAGTGTTATTTAGTACGCTGCAGATCCTTCTGCTTCTTTGTTTTTTAAACATTCCCTGACTCTCTGATTGATGGATTTCTAGTGAAGGGGACCCCAGGAGGGTGGAGCCTCTGGACCCTCCAGAGGGGTCGTCGCCAGGAGAACAGGTTTTTGTCGAGGGATATGAGACGGGCAAGCCAGATGACAAACTCAACCCAAAGAAGAAGGTGTGGGAGAAACTACAGGTACGTTTCAGATTTATCACAAAGATTAATAACGTAATCACAAGGAAGTGTGTTTTATCTTAAAATTAGTTGGTAATTTTTCTATAATGGAATATATTGGAAGAAAGTTAATCGATATGTACATAATATTATTATTCGGTCTCCCCAGGTCGACCTGAAGATATCAGACGAGTGTGTGGCTCAGTGGAAAGACCAACATCTGATGACCAAACTAGGACAGATCACATGTAAGACACTCAAAGGAGGCAACATCAGTTAGATACACGTCACATCACTTTCACCACTGAAGCTGTTCCTGGGGGCCACATCACAACAAGAATACTCTCATCGCCATGGTAACCACCGGCCATACTTCATCTGGATGTGTTTTTTGAAGGGTGACGGGACAGCGATGCCAAATGTCTGAGATGCTTGGGACTGGCTTAGACACATTCTGTTACTTTGCTTTGACTTTATTATAAAAATAAGAGCCTTGTACAACAAAAATGATGTAACTAATCAACCTGTGATTCATTACTGTCTCTTTTTTCTTTTTACCAGGGGTTGTTTGGTGTTCCTAATGCACTTACATATACAATTACAATATGAGAGCTTCTGCAAAGGAGACATACTGCTACTCAGATAATGAAATATTACTTTATTATAGCTGATAAGGAATCTCAGGTGTTTAAAAAGGGACTTAATGTTTCAGTAGTTTTCCGGTTTAAAATGTCACTGTGTTGATTGCTTTCATGGTCAATGTCAAGACGTAGGCCAATCTGCCAGACCTAATTTAATAAGAATGGTTTTAGATGTATATAAAAATCAATATGTCATGCACTGTAAGGCATGGGACGGCTGCATTGGGGGTGGTGTTGTACAGAAATCAATATCTGAACGTTAACTGTCACATAATCAAATAATGCATCATCTCTAATATTAAATAAACGCTGGCTGAATTCTGTGGGCTGCTGAAATGAAGTATATTTGTGTTAGATGAGAGAAACTGTATGTGCCACATCTTTTGAGACAGAAAGCAAGGAACCACATTTTTAATACACTTAAATTTTATTTATAGAAGTAATAACTGTACATAATTTCTTATAGTCATCAAGATGTCGATTTTTGACCCATTACAAAGAGTCAGTACAATTCACTCACTAATGATTTTGCTGGGGGAAAGCATTTTGTGCAAATAGTGATGCGCTGGATTTTCCACCAAAAAAGGCTTGGGCCAAAGTTTTAGACACAGAACATTTAATAAAAACACTGACCTCACACTAAGTCTACTCCAGTGTATCAATCATCCAGGGCCAATCGTCACATCCATAGCCCTAAAAGTGGTTTTCAGATGAAACGGATTCTTAAATATTTCAGATTTGGTAGGAAAAGATGACCGACAGTGCTACTAGTGGAAACAACCACACATAAATAAATAGGATACTTGTGTTACTGTGTTGTTACTGTTGGGCTGACCTTAACTAAACCCAAGAGCATTGTGTAGAAGCATTGACAGTTTAGCTGTTGCTGTAATCAGATGCTTTTCTGTGTTTTAATGTAAATGTTTATCTGTAGCTTTACAAAAGTGCCTCTGTCCTAAATGACAAAATATCTTCCTCTTATTCTTGTGAGTATGCAGCTTCCCTTTTTCTCAAACACTATTCCTGATATATCCATCCACACAGTGAAAAGCAGGACTGAAACGAAGCGTGACAATTAGTTTTTAGTCAGATCTTGAAGCAAAGAAAGCAATAAAATGCTGATTTGTCTTGTAATGGATGCCATTGTCGACCTTTTATGACAATTGCTTAAATCCCCATGAAAATGGTGTATTATATTACAACAGAGAAAAAAGACAGACAGTAAACCTCTGTACAGAAATGCTTTGTCAAGATAAATCCTTTCCTCTGAGCTGCAGTGACCTCTACCTAATTCTACCTCTGGGAGGCGATCTCACACAAGCCGTATATTTACAATTCAGTCAATGTACACCATTTCATCCTGAGGGGCCTTAATAAGAGATAAACTATAGCTTAGAAAAATACTCCGGAATAAAGCTATCATAAGAAATTGGGAGCGACACATTTTTTTTTGCATAAATATGTAGGAAGGCCATTACAGGCTAAGGCTTTTGGAGAAGATTTAACACACACAACACTCTGATAGTTGAGTTATATGTCTCTCGGTAATATCAGTCCTTGCTGTGAGTTGTCCTTTTACTTGCTTGTAGTCTTTGCTTGTTCCTGTGGCGTGGTCCTCAGTCAATCACCACAGCGCTCTCTCAAAACAGTGTTTCAATTGTGTCCGCTGTCACTCTTGTGGCTGCAGGGGGAAGATGAGAGGAGGTTAGACATTATGGCATCAACATAATACAGTTACAGGAATGCGTAATGAGTATTCCGTCCTAATCTAATGTAGTTTCTGAGACAGGATCACGAGCTTCAGGTTAAGGCTGACCGAAGGACATGCTTGCACATTTTACTGGAAAAAGCTGTAGGCTGGGCAGCAGTGTTTGTGTTGTGTTTGTATGGAAGGGGGCTTGTGTGTGCAGTTTTCTGTTGTTGGTATGGAGAGCAAGAAATATGTTCTTTAAGGCAATGTTAAACAGCTTAGCTGTTAGAGATGGAAATGCTAGAATTAGCATTTTGCTTTTTCATGACAAGAAAGTGGTACGTTAAATATTGATTTGTACTGGCACTGAATCAGCTAATGAGTTTACACACTCAGCAGCAGGAGACTGAAGCACATTAATGAAGGCAGAGGCTGTCCTTCATGACCAGTGGTGGACAAAGTACTCATATTTTAAGTAAAGTAGCAATACAACAGTGTAGAAATGCTCAGTTACAAGTAAAAATAGGTGTTATTAAGTAAAAGTACTAATCATGTAGAATGGCCCATTGCAGAATAATGGACATTATATTTCTGGATTATATATATTGATGCATTAATGCATGCTATCTGAAGCTAATTTTAATTAATTTATACACTGCTATTTGTGAATTTCCTCCATTATCTTCAATCAAATATTAGATATTAACCTTTAATAATAGATCGTGACATATTTGTTTATTATATACTATTATTAATCTGAATCTGAAAAGTAACTAAAGTGAGTTGAGTAAATGTACTTAATTACATTCCACCACTGTTCATGACTTTCCGAACAATAATGACAGAAAATCATCTTACTTGTTGTCTCAGGAGGTGTTATTCCACTCATATGTTCTCCTCCTATTGTTCCGTTTCCTTCAGCACTACAGTCCGTCTTGGCTGAACAAGCAGGATGAATCGGTGAAGGACTGATGCTCCCGGGGGCTGGTTTCTTAGCTACTGGTGGAGGAACTTTGTCAGACTTCACCCCACCATTGGAGAAAGCAGCGGCCTTTGATTGGTCAGACACCTGCATGAGCTCGGCCGCCAAGCTTTGCTTCAGACTAGCCTGAGCTTCAGGGGAGGAGGCGGCTGCAGTATCTATGACAACCTTTTTTGTGCTCCTGGAAAAGATGAAGCTGGCGGTAGAGGCTGGGGACTTGTGCATGTCACATCCTTCAGGTGGTTTCAGGGACAGAGCCCCCTGTTCACTGACAGAGCTGTAAGGGGAGGATCTCACACCCAGTCGGGATGGAAGACCATCTCTTGAAGACATGGCTGCAGTTTTCATACGTATTGCTTCCTGTAAGCGCATAGAAGGGGTATTGAGTGTCACAGAGGGTGTTTTTACCGTCTGAGGGGGAGATTTTAGTGACAGAGACTTGCGGATGGGCTTCTGTGGAGTGTTTTGAGATCCCGGGTTTGAGACTGGGTAATTCTCCTGAACTGGAGTTCCCTGGTTTGTTGACTTGTCCTCCGATGGAGCTTTCACCTGATCTTCAGTCATGTTGACTGATCTAAGACGAACCATCTGAAGCAGTGATGGGGTGACAAGAGGTATGTTAGCATCTTCTTTGGGAATGGGTGCACTTTTGTGGCGGGAAAGGAGCTCCTTGCTTCTGGCATCTCGATTTGCTAAACTGGGCTGCCTTCTGAAATTAACCCCATGGGTTAAATTGTCTGCTGGTAAAGGGGGTGCAACTGGGACAGTAACGGGAGGTTGGGCACTGACGAGAGGCTCGTTGGGAGAACGATCTTCAATTTTCAGAGAGTCTCGCTTCAGGAAGCTGCTGGGAGGAACTAAAGCAGAGACTGATACTGGGTTTTCTGCTGTTGTAATACGTGGCAAAGGAGGCGCCTCCACTGTTGGAGGAAGGACAAGCTCCACTGGTCTGCAGGAAATCTCATCACAGGTATCAGCTTTTAAAACATGCACAACAAACTCGGGCTTGGTGTCAGTTACCGTTTGTGGAAGAGCAGGGGGCAAATCTAGAATTTGTCCATGTACAGAAGTCCGGGCTTCACTTGAATCCTCAACTGTCTCTCCAACTTCCTCTGTGGGTCTTTTTGAGACATTCAGCTGCTCTGTGATACAACTGTCCATTACATTTGGCACACTGTCTGCCTCAAAGGGTGGAGGAGGTGGTGGAAAGTCAACCTCATCTCCTCCATCAAAGACAGAGTCCCCTTCCATAGGGGGCGGAGGAGGTGGCCAGCAAGTCTCTACAACATTAATCTCCTCCTGTACCTGCTGTAGTTCATCTGGTGGCATAGATACTGATGATGGAGGTGTCTTTCTTGACAGAGGAGGTGTAGGCTGGTATGCTGGGGGAGGGGTAGGTGGTGGTGAGGCCTTGTTAATTTTGGGGACCTCTGTGGAAAGCGTCTGCGTGGATGTAACCTCACTTTTGTCCATCCCATTCTCACTTCTATCAACTAAAACTATAACCCCGTTCTGTGAGGAGGTTGTATGGTTCTCAACTGGTAAAATCATTTCTGTCACGGCACCGCTCATTTTCTTTCGTTGTCCATCCACTGAGTGCTCTGTTGACACAGGTTCCTCTCTGTGCAGTACTATCATGGGTTTCTTCTTGACAGGAGGGGGATCTTTCTTTGGAGATGTCTCTTGACTCTCAGGGTTCTTCACTACAGGGCTACTACTCTGCTCTTGTTTCGGAATGTCTGCACTTGCTTGCTTCCTCTCTTGTTCTGTACTTTCCGTACATTCCCTATTCTCCAACTCTTTGTTAACACCTTCAGTACCTGCTGCTAACAATGTCTCAGGCTTTGCTTTGTTTTCTGACAATTCTAAGACAGACTCGCATATAGTTGATTGTTTTTCAACTAAAAGTTGCACCTCCTCGCTGGCTTCAGTCTGAGTTCCTGCTTGTTTAACTGTGCTGTCTCGTATCAGTGCTGGTTTCTGGGTTACTTTGCTGACATCAGGGCAAGGCCCACACAGGAGCTCAAAGGAGCGTCTGTTGTGAACCCATGTCTCTGGTGGAGGTGGACATGGGGCTTTGACTTTGGGAGGTGGTGGGATGTTCAACAGTTCTCTGACTTCAACGCTCAAAGGTGAAGAATTGTTATTATGACTGAGTTCTTTCGCAGCAACAATGGGTGGAAACCCCTGTGGAGGCAGACTGGGGCTACATCTGGAAACATCTGGATTGACAGGCTCAGATGTACTGGATGACAGAGAAGTAAGAGAGGAGGAAGGAGACGCTGCTGAGGAAGAGACCCGGGACACTGATCTCTCTGGTTTGATCGGTTTCTTCTTCTGTTTGTCAGGGGAGGTTGGGGAGATCCCTTTTGGGGAAAGTGTCGGAGTGCCACTCTGACTGGAGTAGCCACTGGAAGGGGACATGGTCCGTTCAAATTTACCCCCTTCTGAGGGAGTTTTCTGTGGGGAGGAGCTACTGGACTCTGGCTGAGGCTCCGTTGCTCCTCCTGCCTCATTGGCAGAGACCCGTGTGGGGCTCAAAGGACTAGAGGAAGCATCTTGAGAGCTGGATCCAGTGGAGATCAGTACAGGGGTGTGAATCTTACTGGTATCTGTAGCAACTGTTATCTCATCTGTATTTTCTGTGACATTTGCCACCAGTCTAGACACAGAGTCATTGAGATCTTTACTTTCCACCAAAACTCTGCCGTTGCTCCTGATCTTATTACTATGCAGAGAATTTGTTCTCCTTGGAGGTGCAGGGGGTTGCTTGGTCTTCATAACTGATAGACTACGACTGAAATTCTGTTTGGTTTTTGCATCCTCCCCAGCAGCCACTGACCCTGAAACACCAGGCTCAGATCCTTGAGCTGTAACAACAACTTCACTTTTACAGCTGGGGCTGTTAATCATGCTAACTGAGCTACGGAGACTGACATGGTCTTGGTCTGCACTAGACTGCTCTGTCTGGGTTTCTTGCCCATTTAGACGCACTCGCTGTGAGTTACCACTTCGTGTGCTACCCTTAGAGGATACAGGGGAGGAGTTTGAAATAAGGGTCTTTGAAGACCGTGACTCACTCCAGTTCGACCCAGAAGCCGATGTGGGCATTAGTGTGGAGTCGTTGTGGGAATTGTCGTTGTGGGAACCATCACCATCTGATCTTCTGGACAACAAAGGACTCACTGACGAGTCCCCAGATGCCAGGCTGCTTTTGCTTACAGTGCGGACACTACCGCCATGGTTTACACTACCACCACGTGTTCGGCTGCTGCTACGGTCGATCTCTATGACTTCAATCGAGGCTGGTAAGACCGCATTAGGGATGATTGTAGACATGTAGGTGGCCTGAGGAGATATGGACATCACTGGGCCCTAGAAAAAAAAAAACAGAAATAGGAATTTCACAGTAAAATGTCATGAATGGTCAAGAGAGAATATGGTAAGATACTAAAGTTAGTACTAAAAAGTATTTGAAAGCTATATCCTTATTTATTCTTACCTGGGGTTCCTGGAGGAAGTTAAATAATGTTGAAGGACAGAAGGAGGAGGAAGTGGTCATGCCAGGTACTGCAAGGGACTTGGGTCTCAGGGTTGAGGAGCCAAAGCCTTCGTTGTTGAAGGGCTGCTTATCTTCGAACATGGCCCCCAGGTGCTTCCTTAGCAGCTGTTCATCTCTGGATGCCTGCTTAGGAGTTCAGAGATGACCATTCTTAAGTGATTAAAAAACACAAAACCTGTAATGTATGTCAAAACTATTCTGAATTAATTTGTTCTTTGTGGAGAAGCCTTTACCTCCAGCTCTGAAAGGTGCACCCTCGCTCCCTCCTTATTCGCGACTTGAGTCCCTCCATCAACAGTAGGAATGATAACAACACCTGACTGGCTGTTTCCGTCGTGATTAATGGGCTGAGTAGAAACAAGCGGCTGAAAGGTTGAGCTTCTGTGCAATGCTGGGAAGAGGCAGATCACTGTCAATAACTAAAATAAATGTTTGCCACAAAAGATACATGATGTCTACCAGTTTGGTAAGGATGATGGTGTGGACATACCAAGCTCTTTTTGGACCTGGTTGGGAATTCCCATGATGGTGGTCCTCCTGCTCCTCTTCCTGTTCTTATCTAATCTTTTAACTGGATTCAGAGGCTTGAATGTAGAACCTGAGAGAGAGGAAAAACATTTCTTATTATGATAACTGAATTTGAGGAGGGTTATTTTTAAAGAAACTTTATTCTGCAAAGGACAAGAAATTGGTTAAATAAAGGGAGCAATGCACTATAATGTATTGAAACCCAGTGAAGTATATTAGGGAACTGGCTTTTCCAGGGATTTTTGAAATATGGATCAGAATACCAATCGCACTTGCTTTGTGCACACACAGACACAGACACACACACAATGGCATACTTTGCCTTCCAGCTGCAATATGCAGAGGCGGCTGCAGTGCTGTCTTCAGATGCTTAGAACTTTTGAGTAACCGAAAAAAGCTTCAGCTGTGTGTGTGTGTGTGTGTGTGTGTGTCCTTTTCCTTTGATTTCACACTATAACTGCAGCAGCTGGGAATGAGGCGTGCATGCTAAATAAGTACATGCCTATGACTCGTCATAAAGCAGTAAACTTAGGAACAAAGCTCAAACCGCATTCACAGGCACAAGCACCATGATTAGCCCCTTTTCCCCTAAGATGAATAAGATATAGATGCTTCCTTTCCAAGTCTCTCTCTAAACACCCCCCCCACACACACACACACACACAACCACACACATACGCACGCACAAACAGGACTGTTGTTTACCTTGGCGGGTGAGCACAGGCCGAGTCGACACAGCAGAGGTTACTGTGGTATCAGTACTCCCGGTGGTGGATCTCAACTCCGGAGAGCAACCTCCGTCCTTGGAGCTGATATCCTGCTCCGGACGGAGAGTGTCTGTGGACTGCAGGGGATACACACAGGCGCACACACACACACACACACACACACACACACACACACACACACAGCAGTATTTAGTTAGGTGGCATTATTTGTGAGTAGGAAGTGAAGGAAAAATGATATGATGTTATCCACAGAGCTTCTGGGACACTTACAGCAATACTCTCATCGTCAGGAAAGTTCACCCCATTCTTGTGTTCTGTGTGAACCAAATAGACAAGGATCAGAATCTAAATACAGTTATTCTTCATGTATATGCAGTATCTATAATCAGTGATGTAATCATAGATAAAAAGGTCTGTTAACTTTAAGCTCCAGCTGACCTTTTTATAGAAAATTGCCATTCACACACAATCGTGCACACTAAAGTGTCAACAGTATGTACTAATATGCTTTCTTATTTTTAGTGGTGTGTCTGACCTTCCTGCTGTAGTATCTTGAGGCCTTCCTGGGCCTCAGTGTGCAGGTCCTCCAGGTACTGCGGCCTACTGCCCTCAATGAAAACATTGTCCTGGTAGTGCCGAGAGGTCGTGTAGTGGACGGTCAATCTCTTCTGGTCTTCATTCCCCTTTGGGCCAGCTGTTGGGATGGTGGAAGAAGAAGAAAGGGAAAAAGAGAAGAAGAGAAATTATAAGTATGTGCTTCAAGGAAAAAATATAGTAATTTCACTTTCAATGGGCTGGAATAGGTACCAGGCTAATACTGATCTCAAATGTCATTCAACAGAAGCTTACTTACGCTTCCCTCCTAATTACTATTTATCTACCATTTTGGCTATTTTTGCTCTTTGGACCAAAAACTTTAGCTTTTTCCAAGTCATTTAAACTTTTCCACTCTCTTCCTACAGACAACCTCTTAGGCTACAAACATGGCCACACATACAAACAGATCCAACAGGTGCCCATTTGCCAAAACATTTATCAGCTTTACAGTGAATCCTCTGCCCCTCCACCTGGCCTTAGCATGTGTTCAGCTGTGCACCTTTGACGCAGCACACTCTTCAAATCTCCTCAGACAACCAGTTTTGTGGGCAGACGTCACCTGACTCACCAGACTCTCAACAGTAAACTGTCTAACCTGGCTAATCTCCTGCAGTATCTCCATTCCTTTGGTAGGCCACGGAGGATTAGATAATCTGGATTGTCCGCTTGTAAAGCTGCCACTGGACCCCCTACTGGGGGACCTCCTGCGTGGGAACTGGACCGGCCTCTCCCTTCAGGATGGCTTTGCTCAATGTCAAAGGACAGCCAAAAGGCAAAAACAATGAGCCTGTTCATTTTGTTTGGTAGAACCGAATGAAACAATGAAAAAAAAAAATACTAATACTAGACGCTAAATGATTCTGAGAGGGAATTGTGTGAATTAAGGCTAGTTATTGTGGAATTGCTCATGTTTGTTTAATATTTCATTATTATTATTTAGTTTTGAGTGTGTTTTTTGGTATATTACTGTTAGTGTGCATGTTATTTGTTTGCTTTTAGCTGTGTGGGCTATGCAAGCAATATAAGTTGTATATTGTCTGTTTTTAGCTTATCAAAGTTCAACAGGAGGTGTCCACTTTCCCTCCTTTGTCACTCTCAACACTGTGGCTCTCAGTCTCACCTGGTTAGGTAACACTGTGCGAGTGTGGATGTACATACTGTACATGTTTGCGGTAACAGACACTCCAACCCCTATCCTCCCAAATTCACACAGGTGAGGCAGCCCAGACACAATACCCTCCCCTGTGTGTGGCTGTGGGAAACTCAGGTCATTGTGAACCTGGGACTGTCTGATGCAATCCAAGAAGCAGAGACAAATTTCATTACAAAATGGCCACAGCAGAGTGCGTATTGCTCACATTTAAGTTACAACTACCAGTTGTGATTAATTGGAAAAGCAGCCCTCCGTGAGATTCCGCCAGAAGAATTCCGGCAGAAGGTTTTGGGCTTTTGGTTGATTTAGATGATCACCAAAAAAAAGTCAGTTAAGCCCTTTAGCTCATTAGAGAGGACCCCCAAATTGCCTTCAACGCTAATTCTTGTGTCTGTGTTTGTGTGTGTGAGACGGAGACGGTGACTGGCGCACAAAATCAGCAATTATCATCACATGTTTTCATTAAAGCATAAAAACGTTAGTGATCCATCATCTCAACTGTGCAAGACAAACTCTTTGGGGTATATTAAGTATTGGAAAAAGGTCAGCTTAACTCCCCTTAAAACCTCCATCAAAGCAAAGTTAAGAATATTGCAATCGTATAAACCAGCATTCACTTCTGTCAGCAGCCTAAAGTTAAAGCTACTGCCTGCCAAATTCCCCTATGTGAGTCAGCACTCACCCTTCTTCTTGAAGACAGACAGCAGAGAGTGGATGCTCTTCCTCAAGTACACCACCATGCCTACACCAGTGCCATAGCAGATATAAAATCAAAATATGGTGATAAAGAAAAGCAGATTCCAACAAGTCCTCTTTCTGTCAGTGGTGGTACAAATCAGTTTGTTCTACAAAGAAGATCCAGAAGAACTCTGATGAGAGAAAAAAATGTTAAAGTGACTGTCAGTTGGCTTGTTGTCAGAGTGAGAAGCTCTCTCCTCCTTCTGCAGAGTGTCTGAGTGTGACTTGGGAAGGACAAGTGCACAATAAGATCTGCTTCCAGCCAAGCAGCCTGTCCCAGCTGCCTTATCCCTGAGTCTGATACCCTCCTCCCTTCCCCCTCTGCTCCCTCTCTCTCTCCCTCACTATTTTGCTCTGTCGCTCACACTGGCTCCCTCCATTGCAATTCCCTCTCTATTGTCAAATGAAGAACCCCCCCCCAACCAGCAAAACGGCTGTCAAAGTTTGGCTTTAAGAAGGCATCCACCCCCACTTAACTCAACATAGGCCGGCACGTGCGACTGTGAATATGCAAGCATGTGAATCCCCAGTTTAAGCATAGAGTGAATTTCTTTCCTTACTTGAATACATTATAGAGCCTGTAATGATAAAACTATTCAAGAATAAATTAGAGAAAAAATATTTTTTTCCAACTCATCTCTCTAAATGGTCTTGTGACCCTTCCGATTTATCTGACGGATTCTGACCCTCAGGTTGGGTACCAAGTTACTCAAACAACATAAAAATTAATATATATTCAAATGACTAAAATGACTTACATGAAAAGATGTAAACTTTCATCATAACTAGATTCTCAGACAAGAAGTATCATTTATCATCATATTCTACAGGTAAAAGAAACCAGAAATGTAATAACTTAGATAAAAAGGATCCATCTTCTGCCATTAACTGTGTTTTTATAGGCGAGTGAGCAGCACTGGAGGCATTCCTCCCTATGTTTATTGTTACTAATTCCAGTTGTGGCCATAATAAAAGCTGAAACTAGACCATAAACAATGACATATTTTAAGGTTATATAGTTCTATTTGTTGTCCTTTCCCTAATGAAAGCCTTCAGCATCATGCATGTGTCTGACGCTCTGTCTCATTATCTAAGAGCTACAGGGGCTACGTTTGACAGTAGAGGTTGTGTCCTCACAGTGAAAAGCTAAACAACGGCCATTTCAATGTACTGTACTGTGTGTCTTACCCTCTTTTGTATCACTGCATCACTCTCGCCAGAGCCCTCTTCCCTCCCTCTGTCTCTGACAATCTCTCCTCCTTCACATCTTTCTTTTGCTCTGCCTTTCTCTTCCTGTCTGCCCCTTTGCCTTATAGCCACAGAGGTCTAGCTTGAGTTATAAATAGCTGACACAGCCTCGGCTCATCATTGCCGCTCTAATGTGTGTGCGTGGATGAGTTTCTCTGCGCCTACTAATGTTTCCTGACAAACTGCAGAGGGTATGAAATACAACACGGCTACGGAAAAAAAAAACTAAAAAGACTGATTCTGTGCCAAACAAGCAACCGGTGCTGTGTTCCAGGATTTTTTCCCTGCTATAGAAGCAGCACGTTGGTCCACTTGCCCTCTGAATGGATGGGGGCTACAGCTGGCCCATACACCCACACCAGCTGGAGGGTAGTAACACAATTACTTTCATCCATACACCCACCATCTCTCGTCACACTGCACCAACACAGAACTTCTGCCGCTGAAAAACGTGTGGAGATAATAAGCTTCTTCAGTGAAGAAATCTCCACCTCAGCTTCCAGGGTCAGACTGCCCGGCCCCCGTCGCTGGCGGTGGTTCAGCCTCGGCTTCAGTGGAGGCTGGAATAAGCCGAGGCCTTCAGGAGAGCAGCTTTAGACATGGGAGTCATGCCAGAGGATTAACTCTGCCAGTGCCTTAACCTGTCCAACTCTTCACCTTACACTCCCTCGCTCCTGACATTTGTTTTCCCTCTATCAGCACTTCTCATCTCACTCTTTTAATTAAAATTGTAAATTTGTACCCTTTTTTAAATCTTTTTTTTTTCTTTACACAAGCTTCACATATCCTCTGGATGATATCACTCTTGCGACTAATTCGTACTCATTAACTCCTAATCCATATTAATTTGTGCACGGCAGTTTAGCAATATGGGACATGTAGGAGCTTATGTGCATAAAAAAACCGCCTTGTTTCACAGCGATGTGTCCCAATACACTCCCTTTCCTCAAAAATAAATCCCTTCCACACCCAGTCCCCTCAATGCAGACCTTTACTAAGTGCCAATTTTGGGGTTCTCTGGCCCAGCCTACGTACCCCCCTGTTGTTAACCAAGACCCCTCATATCAATATTCATTAGAGGGCCTAAAGAGACACCATCTGGTCTTGGGGGAGAGGGCAGAGGGGAGAGAGGGGCTTCAAATGCCTTTGATTCAGTGCACACAACACACCATTTCACTGCATAAGCAAAATAACACAGTGTACTACAATAAAAGTAAAAGTATAAAAGTAACACATGCTAAGTTGGATTTACCAAGCTTTCACATCCTTACCATAAAAAGAGAGAAACTACAAATATTCAGCTCTAAACTGCTATATACCTCCTGTCAACAATTTTAAATTAAAGTACCGTACTATTCAGAAGTTGTTTCACAACAATTCATGTGTACCGCTAAAGATAACATCATAAATCAACTGAGCCAGACTGCTGGACTAGTTAGCAGGTCCAACAGCCTGCTGGAGGACAATCACAGTTCAGGCAGCCAACAAAACGGGTCTGTTAAAATGTCAAAGGCCAAAAAAACACACGCCTCATTACTAAGAGCCACATTCAAAATACTAATAATGATTTGACATGCCTTTCTCATTTTTCTGATTTACATCTCATGTTGTGGTTGTGTTGCATTACTAAATCTCAAAATAATTCATAAGAGGGGATTTTTAAAACGTGGATACAATAGAATAAATTATTTAATAAAATAAATAACAGCCATAAAACATTCTAATCAAAATCCAGGCTAAGTTTAAAGTTTAAATCTTAATCATAGTTTTAGATTTATAACTTTTTTGGGGTGGACCACATAGGAGAGCATTACAATAGTCTAGCCTGCTGGATATAAAAGTGTACATTAGTCTCTCTGTGTCGAGACAAAGTGACCCACAACACCTATTCAACAACTGGATGAAAGCTGGGATATAATGCTGCTTAGAAATTAAGTACACCGATCAGCCATAACATT